ATATTTTGACTTTTCTTTAAAAACACCGAACCGAGCATCATTCACATAAATATAATCAAACTTCTAATTTTAATTATTGATAAATGACTGAATATGAAAGTAAAATGACAAAAGAACCTAACACAAAACCAGAACAGCATATAAGGGAAAAACGTAATATCAATAGAAAACATAGGTCAGCTTCTTCAAGTCCATCAAGAAATGCTTTAACTCTAAGCCTATCAAAACGTTTTTCAGGAATAAAGTTAGGTTCATTAAAAGAAGGATTAATTGTTCCAGAGCAATTTAGTGCATTAGAACCTATCCATATCAAAGTTATCAACCAAATTACTGACTGTGACACATATGAGAAACTTAAAAAAGTTATATCAACATACAGTATTCAATTCTTTGAAAAACCACTAGAGAGTAAAGTTATTTGTCCACGAATGGTAATTTGGAAATTAGAAGAAACTCATAGAATGATATTAGAAGTAATTTGTCGATTATTAAAAAATAAAAAAGACAAAAATGAAATATTAACATCTATTTTATCTGAAAGTCAACCACATAATACTAAATTTCTCCAACAATTTGTTGAGGATATATTCTCAAATGAAAGTTTATTTGAAAAAGAAGGAGATCCTTCATTTAATGATGATGGAGAAATTGTAACAATTTCTAAAGAGTGTCTTAAAGAAATATTGTTTAAACCAGAAGGTAGTAAAGAGCTTGATGAATTATTCTCTTTCACTCAACAAAATTATTTTACAGAAAATGAATTAATAAATCTACTTGAATTAAAAATATATGAAATGAATATAAACACTGACTCTTGTTCATCTTATACTAATGAACAAATTTCAAAGTCATTGGTAATTCTTTGTGGAATTAATTCATTTGGTTCTGACACACTCAGTCAAATAAGAAAGATACGAATGAGTCATAAAAAAGTAACTTTCAGTAGTTTTAGAATTGCAATAGATCAAAGTACTGATGAAGGTGTTAAAGCAACATCAAAACCTGCACCAAAAAGAATTCCTATAAAAAGGTATAATTCTGCTTCAAAAATTGATCTTCGTCTTAATACAAAATTAGCAGAATCACAAATTCTTTCAACTGGAGATAAAAAATCTCCAAAAGAAGTTGAACTTTTATCTCTTTCTAAAATAACTACAGAAAGTTCTAAAGATTTGCTTATTTCTTTATCAAATGACTCATACAAAGTTGAAGAAGGAATTGTAAATGACAATATATTGGGAATAGACTCTAAAATTTTTGCAGAACAATTAATGATTTATGATATCGATTTATTTGGGAATATTCCTCTTAAAGAAATAATACTAATTGATAAATCACCAATTATCATTTATGGTACTTCTAAGTTAACTCAAATAGAAAATTTAGTTATCAAACATTCTAAAACAAGAAACGGTATTGATTATTTTATAAAAGTTGCATATAGGTGTTTCAAATTAGGAGACTTTAATATGGCTTTTATCATTTATTCTTGTATCGTTAGAGCATCTTATAAACATTCTGATGAATTTGAAGTTTGTTGATTATTATTATTTAAAATAAAGTAATTAATATTGTAGAATAAAAAGAATGGAAAGTACTTTAATAAACTAGCGCATATTTTTTCAATTAATCAGAATCATCGTAACTATAGAGAAGAATTTAACAAGAGAAACAACAATGAAAGAATTCCTGTTATTTGTTTGTTTTTTATTGTCTCTCTTTCTTTATGACATAAACTTATATTAACTAGCAACATGGATCCATGACTTCTTAAGTGAAAAAGAAAAAGGGTTTATTGTTGATAACTTACTAAGTGTCTATAGAATGAAGTCATATGTAGATTGTGTTAAGGGTATTTTGTTTATACATAAAATAACTTTAAAACTTCAAAGAATTGATTCAATACAAAAGTATTTAATTGAATTTAAGAAATGATATAACTCTTTTCTTTATTATTCTTTTGTATCAAAAAATATACCTTGAAGAAACAAAAATAAAGACTTGAAAAAACCAATAAATAACATGATAAGATTTAATAAAAAATATTGTCCTTACTATAAAGTCATGTCTAAGACTAAAGTGTATTCAACAATTCAATATTTTTTTTTCAAGAAGAATTTCCTAAATTCAATTATTCTCAAATTTATTCCCATCTTGAGCCTCATGGATATGCATTCTTTTTTTTGAAAAATCATACCAATTTAATGGAGGCATATGTTGT